TTGATTTTAATAATTTTAAAGATAGCGTACTTCAGATTAATTCAGGCTGATTTTTTTCCAACACTGGAGTTGTCATATTGGTTAGATGTGTGATGTGTAGTTTCCACGGGTTCAGTATTCATATAAATTTCATACAGAGTGCATGATAACAATACAGAGGTATGCCAACTCTATCTCTACTGTGCATGTTGCAAATGCAAGCAAGTTCGTCTTGGACTATCACAGTTTCCGATGTTCATATCTGTAGAGCGCCCCCATTAATCTTTGGTGTGACCAATGAAAACATGCTTCAAACACGTGTAAAAGCAAAATATGCCACGACTCGTAGGGTTTCTTAAGAGACATTTTCATCAAGAAAACGTTGTTACTAATGAATATAGGTTTGATGATGAAAACTCAGAAATTTAAAGTTAAATAATTTGTTTTTAAAATCATGCGTCCATGCCTTTACTTTGGAAGTGGAATTAGTACCATGTATCCTAAGTACCCGTATATTTAAATGAGAATTTTTAGTTGTATTTGCGGATATTCAGACATACAAATGCTGCCATGAAGGGAAGGGGGGTAGTGTGCTAATAAGTATATTTGACTATGCAAGATGAGATGTTCCGCATATTGTTAATATCCATTTAATACAATAAGTAATGTTCAGACATTTTAACATCTAAAAAGTAATTAAGGTCAACAATCTGATGCTTCCTTGTGGTGCTTTGCAACTTTATGCTTTATATGTGACCACTTGGGTCTCTACCATCGTACTTCATATTTTGATGATCAATCGCGATTTTGTGTTCCATCAATTTCATTCTGTGAACGTTTCGGATCATCATATTTAGTACTTTAATCGGCTTACGCCTACCTTACTTTACTTTTAAATTGTATGTGTTTGTTAAGGAATTTTTAACTCGTTATTTCATTTAAATCTCCTGTTCTGAAGTAATACATGTACATATGGATGGTCACATTAACCTTTCATCTGTTTGTTGCACAAGATAACAAAGCTCAGAACGTATTCCAAATCTAAGTACTGAGGAGACATAAATGAAATAGCAAACAAGGCAAATTTTTAATGGGATAGATTTTGTAGAATTTCTTCATATTTTCTGAAATGAACCTCGAATACTTATATCTGTTACCTGGAATGTTTCAATGTTCCTTGATCTTTAAGTTTAATGTAATCTCTGAACAAGAAGATAAACTATGCGGACTGCTTGCCTATGCAATTAAATCAAAGGTGGAGGACTCGTGGCGCTAATGATACAAAAAAATGGGAATCATTATAGGAATGGGCGAGCGCATAATAGAGTATATATCTAGGTTTGGCTGTCCAGGAATGGTTGATAATGAATACAACATTTTAGTAAAAGGAATCTTTTGAGAGTATATCCTGGGCGTAACTGGAAAAATAAATATTTTATTGATGGGATTTTAGTTATTTCAATCCTTTAATTTGGAAACATCATTACTGAAAATAGCTCTTGACGTTTTAGTGCGAAAATGAAAACACATGTACATACATAAAATGCTCATACGGGTTTCTCTACAGAGCAACATGCATTAATGATATGTCTATACTAATAAATAAAGGTTTCGTCATTAGCATTCACATTTTTTAAGGTTTTGTTTAATATCACCATGTTTCCATGGACGTAATACAGGAAATGAATTCGCATCCCATTTCCTTCGACTTGAGAAACAATAAACTAGCAGGTATTGACCTAGAAAAGGGAGGAGCTAAGGTGACATCTGTGATTCAAAACTAAAGTTGTTTGTAAATTATACCCATGATATTTTATTGTTGCTGTAACGAGTTTTGCTTATAGCAATAATATAACCAGAAAGAACTAATAACAATAGTAGGTTTAGGTGAATGAGTGAGTATAGTGCAACACGGATTAATGTTTTAATTGAAAGTGATATCTTTGAACAGATGATGATAACATTTACGCGTGGTTGTCATGTTCGACCCTACCTTGTTTAATCCTCATGGTTTCAGTGTTCTAAGACAGCGTTTCCTATAAAATTAGTTTTCTTTTCTGGTTTGTAAACTCTAGTTGGGGTTGGGTGCAACAGTTTTTAGTGTTAGGTCAATGAATATCGGCTGGGAGAAGAGAAGACGTATGCAGTCGGATTTCTGTCCAGCGTCATTGCCATATAATCAGATCTGGAAAGATTTGTGCATTTTTGTAGTTTTTATGTTTCTGGTAGGTTAGCGAGATTTGTTTGTTTAGCTCTTTGATTTGCCTCCTCTGTCAGATCCTTGTTGTGGGCTCGGTTCATCAAAATTTTCAGACCTTTAATGGAATGTTTCATAATCGGAATAACTTTTATGTATCTCCAATACCTAGCTATACTGGCTGAAACAAACAGTAGTAATTATAGGTGAGCTAATAATGAAATAAATAAATAAATAAATGGGGCTGTAAACATATGACGATTTAATTTTCTTCTGAATGCCATTTGGGATTTTGTTTGGTTTAAGACTTCAGAGCTCTAAGGCGGTATATTCAGTAAGGTTCCATTTCTATCCTGGTTTTGGAACTCCAATTGTGATTTTGAGCAATTTCAGTTGAAAGTCTGGAAGTGCTGACATAGGTATAGAGGTGTTTTCCTACTTCTTTGTCTTTCAGTCAGATCTTTGAAGATTTATCATTCTATGTAGTTTGTTGGTTTCTCCTATATTTTGTAGACCGCCGATCTTACATGCCTTGTGATAAATTACATTCTCTGCTATACGCGTATTGTTTAAAAAAAATTATGTTTTATTTTCGCTCGCTGTTGTCTCTCTCTCTCTCTCTCTCTCTCTCTCTCTCTCTCTCTCTCTCTCTCTCTCTCTCTCTCTCTCTCTCTCTCTCTCTCTCTCTCTTGTGACAAATATGTTACTACACTGATGTTCTTTAAATGTTTGCCGCTGAACACAATCTTGTCTACTCATATTATCTTCGTCAAAAACCGGACCATATATCATAAATCAAATAGTTATTAATCTCAACTAACACATTTTATTACCTAATAAAACCCATTTTAGCAAAGTGTAAGTGTGAAGACCATAATGTTTCCATTAACGGTGAAATAATTTTCATTATAATCACAAAATCATGGACATATCTATCATTATTTTATTGGAGTATTCTCATAAATTACTCACGCCACATCAGTCCATGACAGTACTGTCTCTAATTAATAACGTATTCTCTGTTATGAGTGTTGCAGTCTCTATTGATTTGTTGAAGTTTGCATGATTGCACATTTTCGTAAAAATTGCCGTAAATCGCAGTCTCAGCCGCCATTGTGCATACGAGTGCTGACCTTCACTGCTTAAAGTTCGCCCAGAATAAAGTGAAGTTGTCACAAGTATGGTAAAATAGGATTGAAGTGATGTACAAATATTATGTATCAAGCTTTATTAACAACCGGAGTAAGATTAAATTGGTTAATCCTTTAGCTGGAAAAAAAAACAGAAAATGTTCAAAAACTAAATATTGTTTTGTTGACAATGTATAACGTTAAAAATAAATTAGTTTGGTTACGAAAAGTTATTGAAAATATAATGGATGACAGGAAAGTTGTACCAATCTGAATATTAACATTTACAACATTTAAAAGAACATGGGCGAGTCAATCGTTTGCCAGTAAGGACACATTGAAAACAGAATGTAAGCATAAAATATCCCCAGTTTCGTGATAACATTGATTTCCACAGAACTTTTTTCTGAAAAAGTACATACAGAACTAAATACATGCTCATAGGAATTGTTGAGTTTCTTGTGCCTGCAACATCAGAACACCTATGTCTGAAGAACAAGTCTTCACTAGCCTATGCAGTGTTAATGTGACATTTGGTCCACGCGCGTGAAAGTTAGATAGCGTCTTGATTCAGACGATTCTATATTTTATTGACAAATATTTGTAGTCTTCCTGAACACGGATGTGTGTGAATGTATATCTTTCTTAACGTAAAAGCCACATATTTGTCTAACTGTATGTTAACCATGCCGCTGGGCATGCTATTGTGTGGTGATTTGGAATTTATAACATTGATTGACTGAAATAATCTAATGGATAAACAGTACCTAACAATTATTCTGTTTTAGCTCTAACAAGGACAAGAGAGTTATGAGCAGAGCGATGCAAAGTGAGTTATAATGTTTTGGACCCCCCCTCCTAAATCACAATGCTTTCACTGGATTAAAACAAAGGAACAATTTCTAGACGGTATTAGAGTTGAGGTCATAAATAAAAGCTATACATAAAGATGTATTTACAAAATGATGAAATTTGTACAAAGTTCTGCAAAGAGACAGTGCAGAGTTGGTTGCCATTTAAGATCACAGTTCCTTCCTCGTATAGTATGCTCATATAAAAGAGACTAAGTGTGTAGTCGCCAATGGGCAGCATTAAAGCTCATGAGAGACAAAGATCATTACTCCCCAATGGAGATCATCAAAGCTCATGAGAGACAAAGATTATACTCCCCAACGGATAACATTATCTTTAACGAGATACCAACAGTTTTACTCCCAATGGACATCATTACCTCTCACGAGAGACAAAAAGATTAATGCTACCAAATGAACAGTGATAGTTTTCATGAGAGACCAAGAGTATTACTACACAATGGACAACATTATCTCTAATGAGTGACCATACGCATTACTTCCCAATGAACATCATTACATCTCAATACAAACAAAGAATATTATTCTCCAATGGACAGCAAGAATATTAATCCCCTATGGAGAGAATTATTTTTCACGAGAGACCAGCATCATTACTTTCCAAATGGACAACGTTGCCCCTATTGGAGACCAAACGAGCATCAGTCATAAATGGACGTCAATAGTTCACAAGACAGATAAAGAATATATTATTTGAATGACAACATTATCTCAAGTTTATTCCAACCAAGCATATAAAATCATCAACTTCACCAAGCTTTCGTTAATCCTTTTGAATACATTGTCAGTGAGAGAATGGAAAGCATTATATTCACATTAGACTGCTTCGGTGGCCTAGTGTTTAAAGCGTCCGCCTTGGATGCGGAAGGTCGCGTGTTCGAACTAGGCTGAATTATCCCAAGATATATAAAATGTTACTAACAGCTGCCCCGATAGACGTTAAGAGGTTAGTGTTAAGATTGGTCGGCTTCGTGTCAGGATAGTGTGATTGGGTGGGACATTATGCTACGTCCTTTTATCATCATGCCCCCAGTGGAGGACATCGCTAAAAAAAAGGCCACACTGCAGACATCGTAAAGATATGACTGAAAAATTGTTATCCAAATCATACACAAACACACACACGCACACACTAGCCTCAATAAAATTATTAAGGAATTGATTTGACTAGCATGTGGATATGAAAACTGGCGAAGTATGTAATGCAGATTTTTTTATAACTGGTAAAATAATGTATTCAATTCCCATTTAATATGATATGGTTGATCTGATATTCAATACAGATATTCAGCATGATATTCTGTATCACACACATAAAATTTCAACATTAAATCATTAAATATTAGATAACACTCAACTTTTTAATATTGATAAAGATTAATCGCTTTACATTTGTAATTATTAGAGAATGTCATCACACGATTGTAAGAAATGCAATCATACTCGGTTGCCGCTTTTGCTGCTGAGAATGATTGCGTGGTGGCGTGGGTGATGTGGGCGTGAGGTTAATGTAGTTAGCCACGAGCAGTTATGCAACACAGATAAATTATAGTTATTTGACAGTGACAACAATATTTTCGAGTAAATATTTCAAATGTAGTTCTCAGATAAAGCTGGTGTGCAAAGTGACATAAAACATACGAGAGAGAGAGAGAGAGAGAGAGAGAGAGAGAGAGAGAGAGAGAGAGAGAGAGAGAGAGAGAGAGAGAGAGAGAGAGAGAGAGAGAGAGAGAGAGAGAGAGAGAGAGAGAGAGAGAGAGAGCTTAAAACCTCCAGACAAAGTATGAAGGATATGATGTATGGCATGGATAGAAGAAAACATTAAAGAAACCGGATAGTTTGGACCACGAAATATATACGATTAATAGTTACAACACAACTGTGTAAACCGATAATTAAGGACAGAAACTACGGCTCCATCATCTGAATTTCAAACGGCGAATTCTGAGCGTAACGACCACAATATCTAAGAAACCTAAGAACAAAAACTTCTGAACCGTCCACCCGTTGATCTCGTTTCCAGCTGCACCATTCCTGACACAGAGAAGACAGATTCTAAAATATAAATTATCTAAAATACCAAACTAACCAAAACATTTATTACATCTTTAGAGTTTCAAAATATGGTTCACTAATTGATTTTAATATGTTTTGTGGAGATATTTAAGGTATTGGAACTTTACATTCGTCTGTTAATATTAAGGAGGAGTTGAGTATGGTTGAATAGTAAATATGACGATACAGCTCACAAACATCTGCAACATAAAGATAGACGTCTCACAGAGAGCAGGACAGTGACGAAAATTCACAAGAATTGCGTCTTGTTACAATGTCAATGTTGTTGAGACTTGATCATTATTGATGCATCGAAGTGTATGTTTGTTTACTTATAAAATTCCTTCAAATATTCATATAGAATCAATAAAAAGAGAAGAAAACAGGGAAATATTGTTTAGAAGCTTCTTGATATAAATATCCAAATACATATTAAAACTATGCCTGCGTTTTAGATGGAGTTCGAATCTTTTTAACTTTAAAAAATATACTTAAATTACCACCTTTTAGATAAATGCGCCAATAATGTTTTTGTATTAAATGAAACCACATGAGTACAGTGTTTGAACTTATTTTAAATTAAAGACCTTTCCGTGTAAACTAAATCTATTCAGTTACCGTCTGCCTTGAAATTTGGATGGAAGTAGAGTGTTTATTTAGTAAGAAGGTAGTGTCAGAGATAAAGTCTCTTATTGGTCCAAAACCTATGCTCTATTTGAGAAATAACAGCAAAGTGCACTTACCCAGGGCTGTAGTTTAAATCCATTTATATCTCCCAAAAATGTTTTTTTTTTTTAAATTGTAAACTAAAGAGTAAACTGCCATATCTGTAATGCAGACAGACCGATGACGCAACTTTCGGTATGTCTATTCCTAGCCCCTGTTACGTACATAAGATTTGTCAGAGTCCTATTGATCTTTCATAAAGTACCAAATTCCCAATTCATTTTTGTTTAAAGTATACAGTAAAAATATTGAAAAGAATGCACGAAAAAAGAGGATAGGCAATAAATACAAAACCATTTAAATGATTTGTTCAAAGTTTTGAGAAACAGTTCTTTTGATAAGGCGTACGAACATACGCATGGACCCGAAGGCTGGTTTGTATTCCTAAGCCGTATTATACTCGTATGTTTCGCCCACATACATTTAGTTTCGTCCACATATCAATTAGTCAATCAATCCCCGACTATCACTGAATTTTTTATTTCACGGTACGACAACTTTAATTAATCCGAAAACCTCGTAGTTTTTCTACAAATTTCCATATTAGAAATTCTTTGATGGAATAACAAAAAAAGGAAATTGTCAGAACGTGAAATAGAAATCAGTCACCCCCAAAAAAGTACACAAGCCAAATTAGTGTAATGTCAAGAGCATTATGATAATTTATCAAACAATTTCCACAGGTATAATAAACTATTTCCACAGGTATAGTAAACGTTTTCCACAGGTATAATAAACTATTTCCACAGGTATAGTAAACAATTTCCACAGGTATAATAAACAATTTCCACATGTATAGTCAACGATTTCCACAGATATTGTAAACGAAATAAAGTTCTCTTGTGGGATCATGCTTGAAAAATAAGAAAGAAGAAGACAGAATACTTTAAAATATTCTGGCCAAGAATGCATGATCTCATTCGAGCCGTCCGTTATAAATGACACATGAAGTAGTTCATGGCAATTGTCAACAAGGCACTCGTATATGTATTGCATTTACCACAGCAAGTGTTTTTCATATCATTATCGGAACATTTTGAGCTTTTTATAAGTTATTTAATATACCCAATTAAACGCGTAGAATTTCTGTTCGACATCAACCATCATATTTAGCAGACTCTTACCTTTACGTTTTAAATATCGGAACATATCTTTTGTTTGCTGTAATTAGATGCGTTTCAAAACTAATTTTGACGACATTGTTGTGAGTCGTGCTGGATTACCATACGTAAATTGGATGCCGATGGAAAATGGTAGTTATAAATGCCCACACAATCGGATAACTGAAATTGGTTTAAACATCACAGATAATGATTAGTTCAGACTGACATGTAGCCATTTGAACTATTGGCAGTTACAATGAAACATACATAATGGAGACGTAGTAATACAAAAAATTGGGTTTTCTTCATTTGATTATATCTATCAGGCGTGGATTAACGGCTGCACATACGCAATGCCTTGTGTAAAAAGATTTGTTTTGATGCTAATTAAAGAGGATAGCCACTGAAGAGTCAGTAGAAATTACTTGAGTCCGAATTTGCTTTTGTGCAAAGAATCCCATCATTTTATATGGCACCCAGCTTCTTAATATAAGCTGTTTAAAAAGAGCCTGCAATCGTTTTGATGGTTTCGTGTACTTCGTTTCGTTTGAGATTGTAGTCTTAATGCAACTATAATAGGCCCATATACAACCTAATGCGCCGGCAAATCGGGGTATATATTGGTTGTTCTAGTGATTATTCCTGACAAACTGCATAAACCCAGATAAGCCTGTTCATTATGCCGCGGCTGATCTGCTTCTTTGCAGATTACAGCTGGACGAGATTTATAATCGGATAAATACGGTATTATAGTTTTAGTGTCTTGCGAGGTGTCTCTTTTATGCTAATTTATCTCAAACAATAATATCATGCAAAGCAAACAAATTGACAGGTAAATTGATAAGCTGATTTATTGTCAGAAAAATATAAATATTATAGATACGATCAAATTTGAAAGCAACAGGGAATGAAATTACACATAATTATCCAGATTATATCTGCATTAAATCCGCATCCTATTGGATTGTGTCTGCAATATTAACCATATACATACTTTTATCATGAACCCTGATTAGGTCCCTATGGTCCTACATTTTTTACTTGGTTCGACGAAAGAAATAAAGCAATGCAAAAAATATTGATCATCATGATAAGGTTCAAATTTACGTAGTACGGTCGTATTCTTCGGGGAGCATTACCATCGTGAATAGTGACAAAAGCTTCCATGTAATTGTTCCATGTCATTTATAAACGAGGCAAATATGATGTGCCACAGAGCAGAGGGCTGTGTCTAAACCTACTGCATCATCCAACCATTTGCCAAGCTGCTATTTATCGACAGGTTAGTCTTCTGTTCCACGTAAATTCGGACTTTACGACTCGAGACTTGCGTCGTGTTTTGTATGAATGACAATAAGTAATCTTGAAACAAAATCTGAATTCTAACGAAGATACAGGAAAGGAATGAAAGTGAAAGTACAAATCAAATTATACGGTAGGTACACAATTATCCTATTTTTTCTGACCAATCAGTATTAATTTCATTTCAATCAACATAGAATTTGTTTTCCTACAAGGTCAAAGGAAATGATGAAACTAAGTTATTTAATCTCAATACATAATCATCAGAATGTTCTGCCTTATTTCTCATGATTCAAGTAAACACTACACCAAGTTATTTAACCTATCGCTTCTAGTTAATTGATATATCAATTTCCCATATTTTCAATGGTCTCTTCGCCTAGGAAGATCTATTTGAATACAAGGTGAAATGCTTCGCAAGACAACTGTTATGAATTCGTTTATTTTTCGTAGATATACATTTTCTTGCTGTTGCTTAAAAAAACAATTTCGTCTGTACTTAAAACTCCATACTTGTTGAAGAGATCATATTGTCTTCAAATTCGTACCCTACCAAATTCATTTGATATTCAAATTCGTCCTCATGAAATCACACACCACGAAATTTATTTGATATTCCAATTAGTATTCACGAAATCATACCCCACGAAATTCATTTCATATTCCAATTAGTATTCACGAAATCATACCCCACGAAATTCATTTCATAT